TATATAATAACCTGTACAATATACTTACCACTCTCATATAAAGACCTTAAAGCCAGTGTATATATATATATATAATAACCTGTATAATATACTTACCATTCTGACATAAAAACCTTACAACCTGTGTATAGATGTAATAACTTGTACAATATACTTACCACTCTGACATACTTTACTATAACACCTGCTACTCTCCAACCAGTTCCCTGGAGAAGAAAAATAGTATGTCTTTTATCAAGATAAAGGGATAAACATTTACTTTACATCTGACAAACCTCTTACCTGAATTGAACTTCCTAAAGAAGAAATAAATGCACAGATTTCACATTCTCTGCAAGTGCATCAATAATTTATAGTGTTTATTCTGTATTGTACTCTTAACCAAGACGTTTTTTTCTAGAAAATAGTCAAAATTACCAATAATTTACAAATTGTAAATTTACTTGATTTGAAGTGAAATGCATAAATTGGTTATTCTTTATAAATGCTCAAAATATACTGGTATGCATAATTTTCTTTTCACATTTCATTTCTGTTCATATCCAGGATAGAAAAGCAATTTCCTTATCCGTTTTATTCTAGTTTCCTGCATTCTAGATTAATATGCTATTTTGGACATTTTAGTTGAAACATAAGTATTGATCAAATTATTTGCTTTAATGGAGGCCATTAAAAGTAGAACTGGCAATAATAGCTTTATGTTTTCAAAAACGAGGTTTTAAATGTCATTTTAGAGGTCATTCATGAAAAATGTATAACATTGAAACCACACTGCATGAACACTGTACTGCAGTATGTCATGCAGAGTGGGATACATGAGTTGAATGTTTCACTCAATGTATGACAGTTTATCAGATAAATAGAACATGCCACAAACTGTGTTTTGCTGTTTGTATGACATATAATTAGAGTTATCAACAAATCCTAATGTGTTAGATTAAAATTATTGGATTTACGTTGGTTGGTTATTAAAGATGCAATGTGGATGAGAACATGTAATTTTAACACTACTAGTAAGTTGCCACAGTATGTTAATAAATACATTGAATTATGAATTATTATGAAATAGTAATGAACACATCTGAATATTGTTTGATGATCAATGACATTCTTTAATATGCACTGGTTGTTTTGATAAATAACATTCACCACAAATGCTTATTAGTTTTTTTTCATCCAATTAATACTACCGGTATGCAGTATGCTGCAAATCAACATTCTTACTTCATAATAAATTATAACACAGTTCAGTTCCAGCGTGCTATCAAACAACAATATTAAAACATATTTTTTTCCATATTACATCTTTAATTTAACATGCAGTATGTATGAGTTGTCTCATAATTTGGTGGTTTTCTCAATTTCTGCTGTAGTGTAGACAATTAAATATAGTTGAAAATGAAAATTAAAACTACACTTACTTTTCCTTTATGGAATGACTTTGGTTGTTTTGTTTTGTTATCTGTTGACAAAAAACATTTTATTATTAAAAAAACTGAATGTTGCATATTTTAGGAGTTATATACCCTTAACGCCAACTGGTATAGTGCTGTGTTATTTCCCCTAAACAATTAACTACTGGCAAACATCTGATAAAGAACTCCATCATTCATAAACAAATCAGCCTATCAGGTTGGCTATGTACATTTCCCAGAAACAGTGTCAGTTAGGTGACATGCCAATAACTTCCACTAAATATAAGATGAATTCGTGCAAAAATGATTCAAAAGATTCATTGCTCGATTAACTGTCATAAGATTTCAGATGAATAGATAATAACTATTATTAATATAATTTGTGTTAATAATTATTGCTTTATATAAGGGTTGTAGTGAGAAATTTATGTTTTGGGAATATCTAAAAATAGTAATTTCTAGCAGTTATATTTCAGTATTTCCACATTTATTTCAAAAATATAACTTTCCTATTTCCATTCGACAGAAATAATACTACTGCTTCTTTTTAGAGTTTCTCAATTTGAACTCTAGAGGGCGCACGCAAATACGTAATTTTAATGCATTTCCCCTGACATACGAGTGGGATAATGTCCGTGACGAGTCATTGCATACTCTATGTATTTGTGTTGTTTTTTTCGCATGGGTTTCAAAACAAAATAATATACATCAGTAATGTATGGTTAACATGTGATTTTAAAAACATTCCAACATTTGCATAGTTTTGGGATGAAAACTATGATCTTGGCTTTCAATACGAGAAACGCGTTACATCTTTCCAGGATAGAAATACAATTTATGTACAGTAAAGTGCCACCTTTTACAATGCATTATTTTCTCATATGAATATTGCCCATGACATCATATTCCAGTATTTTATTTGTATCATTATTTAGTGGTAGTTATTGGCACATGACCTTGGGAAGGTCAACGCACTGCGTTAATAGTGCAAGGTAGAACTCCACACCTATAGGAGCAAAGTATCTAATTCTCATTCTACAAGTATTTAATCTCGGCAACACACCATGAAAGAGACTTAGTTGTGGATTAATAAAGAGTACATTTATAGCCCCAGGTCGTTCTTTTACACACAACAGGTAAAGTATCTAAGCTGATTCCCTGAAGCAATGAGTGCCATGTGAAGAATGAAGAAACATGAATATACCCAGGTTCTTCCACGTACAACAGGTAAAGTTATGTTAAGAAAGAGTGACAGTAGCATTCAGAGTTGCTAGCCTAGTTCAGCTATTGGTGCTAGCATTGCCACTTACTGACTTTCTCGATGTTCGGAGGATGCACTGTGGTTTGATCACGACAACAACACGTACAATATATACAGGACAAAACGAATACATAAACATTAATTGTATAAAATATAAATATTAGTTATTACACAATTGCACCACTCAGTATGACAATTTAATGAAGTGATGTGTGTTGGTAGCACAACCATCTGTAATAGAGCAATTGCATATCCAGTGAATATTGTGAGGAGATTCAAAGCTTGTAAAAAAGTAAGTATACATTTGTGGGATTGTTGAATTGAGTGTAAGACTCTCTCTGTAAATCGTCCGTATTCGTAATAATTTGGTTTACTGCATAGTGGTATGTATCTACACTGTATTTAAAGGATAGATACCAACATTCGTCGAAGTATTTTACATTTACGTATATTAAAACAACCCAAGTGATATAAAACAGGTAAACTACTCCAAGATCTAATCCAGCAAAGTGTGGATACCTGGCTATTAATATTTTCAACAACAAAAACCATGCCTGAAAAATGAATGGTCGCTCTTTGGATTATAGCTTTGAAAGGTTTAAGAATCGATTATTCAATCATAAACGTATATTACATTGAATTCGTGGCAATAATGTCTTCCGGAGAAGTTGCCTTTGAATTATTAATGGATCAAGCCATATAAAAAGTATGCCATTCCGCTTCCGGACTCGTACTTAACCGTGACTGCCTCGAACGCAACATCTATACCTACCTACATTTTGTATTATATTTAATGTTTATATGTTATATTGCGCGTTCATATTAAAATGTAATGGATTTTATTATTGAGATTAATAAAGAATTGTTTTGTTTTTGTTGTCAATATTTTAGTTGTTATAGTGCTTGTTATTAAGATAAAATTACAGTAAAATACATGTGCGCATTACATATATTTTAATTAACACTCAATCCAATTATCTTATTGTAATAAATTAATTCACTGCAATGATAATCCTACTGCAGATAATCGGATATCAAATTATATCACGGCGTATAAATATGACGTACGGGATTAGGGTGGTCACTGATGTTGACTGTGGTATATATAGGGTGAACTTTTGACTCGAGTAGAATTATCGTCGGATGTTGCCATCACTCGGGCTTGTCGCCCAAAACTTACAAGTGGCCGTATTTGGCACCGGAAATTCCAGGAATACAGTTATGAGAAAGAATAGTTATATTATGAGTCGTATATCTGCCATGTTTCTTTCGCATGGTCACGACTGGTCGAGGGAACGACGTTTCCGTTCTTTTCCAAGTTCGCATTATTTTCGCAAAAGCAAAAAAGCTTATTTTGTCAAAAAATGCTCAGAAGTCAAGCAGAATAACAAATGACACATCAAGACAGTTTGGCAATGGAAAAGCTTGTTTTGGAAGTTCAATCTGAACTCAAATAAGATGGATTAGGGGATAATTTTTATTTAAAACCAGCCAACCTAATGGTCGTACATGTTTTAAAGACTCCGCTGTAAAAAAAATGTGTCGACAATAGGCTATATAGAGGGACTGTGAGCTAGCAGTTAGTGCGGTGCAATACACCATATACCTTGGAAAACAGGTCTATTAATACACATAAACATATTTTTCTCGGATATTATCTAACGTAATGTGTCTACTCACAGCACGATACGAGTCAATGTGACACATCTGAGCTGTATATTGTAACAAAACTCACCCTTTCCAAGACGATTGCGTTTCTTTTTTGATAGTGCGACAGATTTGTCTTCCTCCTCTGTTTTCTTGGTGTGTTTTCTTCTGCCACCTCGCTGAAATTATCATTAAGAAATGAATGTCACAAACTGTGAATTCTGATGCTTCTCGTAATAAATAAATTCCAATAGTTTGATTATATGAATACACAATTACAAATCAGAATAGTTATTTGTCCTCGATACCGGCATGGCCCAACCAGGCTACAGGACAATCTACAATGCCAGTGCGTCTTCTCTCACCTCGCTATGACTGTTTTCCTCTTCAACTACCGTTTCTAGTCGTTCTGTAACGAATACAAAATAATTCCGTTAGCTACATGAACAAATTGACTGCAACACATCGCCCATCTGCCCTTTGTAGCGCATGCAGGTGTTTGTCGCTGTCTCAGGCGTGTCTCCATTCGTCAGAAAATACAACAATGTTATATTGTAATGAGTGCCATTAATATTGAAGTAGACATCGGCTTTTACCCGATACGTAGTTGCTTGGGCCTCGTTGGTCGTTCTTCACACGACGATATCCGTCATGTTTGATGGCAGGTCTCGTAGTATGTGCTGCGTTAGCCATATCTACATCCGTCATCTTAAAATATAAGACCGATGAACACATTCATCCTTTTCGATATTCTTGTAATCGATCGTTGTCATATCGTCTTTACCTTATCACAAAGTGTGCCGTAATTAACGTCACGTTGGCAGGTGAACATTTATTGTGAACAGTCGGAAACTGGGTAGTCGCCAGGTGATTTCTTGGTTGCTGGGATACTAGATTTTTAGATGAAGATTCTTTTTTTCCATCAATTGACAAACCATGACAGCATTGCGATATTACCTATTATTGTTTAAGTTTATATTTTTTGGAAGAGCATAGTATATTATTTCATAGCAACCGACAACGCGTGTTTAGTTCATATTTGAAATGCAGAATAACGTGTTTGTCCAATCTTGATTGACGCTGCCAATTCTTTTCTTTTTTGCCATTTATCTTGTTAATCGTATACTAGTAGTTTATTCAGGGGATAAGGACCTCCAGAAGAGTCTTTTGGCGACGAGCTGGTTCTCGTCATTTATTTCTTCAAGGATAAGATGATCACGTACCTCAGCGCAGCATGTGTGTAAAAAAGCTTACAGTTTATATCAATATTTGTTTCTTTTTTCCTTGTACATAAGTTCAAGCTGATATTGATCAACGAAGTCTACACCGTAATCACAATGGCTCTCATTGCCATCGGACGGAATTTAGTTTATGTTAAACCCAATACTCTTTTCTAGTGTCTTTGGTTAAACATTACACACTATATACTGCACTTAGTTGTATGTTACATCGTTCAGTTGTATGTCTTGGTCGTGTTTCGTTTTATCCATATTTGCCTATAATGGTAAACCAGGTTCTACACTTTTCATTCAGAGAAGAAACACGCTTATTTGATAATTACATATTTTTGAAGATTTTCCAACTCCGATGTGTCAGATATCAATGCTGAAC